TAGTCGAAGTTAAGACGGAACCAGGACACGAAGGTTCAGAGTCCTCATCCGCCGTCGCTGAAGGTGACGAGTTCTGGGACGGACTTACGACTAACAAGAATAGAAATGAAAATAACCTGATGCCGGACTCTATTGAAGAGCCCAAGAATGACGACTTCTGGGCAAGCAGCTCAAAGAAACAGAAAAAGAAGAAAGGTAGCAAGAATATTCCGGTCGAGGTCGAAAATGAGCCTCATCTTGACAGTCTCAAACCTGACTCGGTTGAAGAGAGCAGGGGTGGCAATTTAGATGACTTTGACTGGGGTTGGGGAAGTTCAAGCAAAGGCAAGAAGAAATCTCCACCCCCAGCACCTACACCACCTTCATTAGAAATGAGCATGTCGGACCAAGAAATGGAAGAGAATGTCTGGGATGACGCCAAAACCGGAGAAACCGAAGAGGAAAGAAGAGCAGCCAAGGAATTGGCAAATCAAATTGCCGCTGAAGAAGACGAGCTGGCGGCTTTGACAGCTAAGAGCAAGAAAAAGAAACTTTCCAAGTCTAGCCAAAGAAGATTTGACGAACTTACTACGAACGCTAAACGTCGGGTTAAAGAGAAGGCCGCTAAAGAGAAGGCCGCTAAAGAAGCCGAAGAGGCAGCTGCAGCGGAAGCCTTAGAAGCGAAGCAGAAAGCAGCGGACGAAGCCCAAAAGGCCGAAGAACAAGCTGCCGCACAGGCACTTGCAGACGAAATTGCGGAAGAGGAAGCGGAGCTTGCCGCACTGATAGCCAAGAGCAAGAAGAAAAAGAAGCTCAAAGCAGCAGACCAGATGAGGCTTGATGAGCTTACCGAGAGAGCCGAGGCCCGTGCTGATGCGAAGGCATCTGAGGAGGGTCAGGGTCAAGATTCACCTGACCCTGACGCAGAGACGCAAGAAGTAGATGAGCAGGTGGAGGCTGAAGAACAGAGCGAACGAGAAGCTAAGGAACAAGCAGTGCGCGAGGCAGAAGAGGAGGAAGCTCGCGAGGCAGAGGAACAAGCCAGGCGTGAACGCGAAGAGGCAGAAGCAGCAGCTAAGAAAAAATCGAAAAAGAGCTCCAAGTCTGAGGATAAGAAGTCCAAATCTATTAGTGCCAAGGACAAGTTGTCTAAGAAAGAGAAGGGGGAGAGGGAGCGGGAAAAGGAGAGGGAGAGAGAGGAGAAAGAGAGGGAAGAAAAAGAGGAAGAAAACAAAAGGGACAAAAGCAGGGACGACGACGATGATCTGGATCTTGACAATATTGATCTTGCCCCCGAACAGATCGACGAACTTTTATCCGGGTTTTCAGCTCCCAAAATACAACCTCAGCCTAAACCCAAGGTTGAAAAGCATAAATCCGATGCGTTCTCATTTTGGGGTGCCAGGGCGAAAAGCTCGTCACCTGAACCGGTAAGTAGCTCCAAGACACCAAAAATCTGGGGAGTGAATGGGAATGTGGATGAGAGTAGTTGTGCTGAGTCATCAAAGCTTCCGGAAGAAACCCCAGTTCCCCCCGTCAAGGATGCACCGTCGTTTTCGAAGGCACCCCCACTCGACGATGACTGGATGAAGCCAAAGAAGACTAAGGCTAAGAGCGGTAAACTTGCCGAAAAGCTTAGAAAATTCGAGCCGGCCAAAGAGGAAGAAGACGATGATCTGATTAACGGGCTGGCTGCGCCGCCGCCACGTGTTCGTGTCGCACCGCCCGTCGAGGAAGGTGACAAATCCAGTTCCTCTAAAGATATTCTCCCCGGGGGTTTCCCCGAAGAGGACGAGAACGAAATCATCGATATCGTTGACATAGCGCCCGTACAGAAGAAAAAGATGAGCAGCAAGAAGAGTAAAGCCAAGGCCGTCGTCGAGGTACCTTCTCCACCGCCCGAGGTTCCTATTCCGCCACCACCTCCCGAAGTGCCGCTTCCCCCTCCAGCTGTTCCCGACGGGCCCCCGACACCACCACCCGAAGTCAAGTCTTCTAAGAGAGACCGACACAAGGTTAGCCGCGATGGCGGTGCACCATGGACAATGTGGTCGGCAACACCTCACAAAGAGGAGAGGAGATCTAAGCCTAGGTCTGAAGAGAAGAGGGTCCGGATGGAGAAGGAGAAAGAAAAAGAGAAGTCTTCTTCTTCTAAAGGCGAGTCGTCAGACAGAGATAACAAATCCGAAGAGCACTCGGGAATGAAGTCACCACCAATCGACAAACCACGCATGAGCAATGTATTTCAAAGCACCCCTCCAATCTCGCGTTCTATGTCAACCCGTGACAAATACTACAGTACGAGCAAGTCAACTTCGCGTCGTCATTCGGTAGATATGGCAAATGGTCTCGTATCGCCGCCGCCAGAAGAAATACCAGCAATGTCCTCTAAGGCTGCCAAAATCTTCGGCGTTGACAAGAGCCAAAAGAGCCGTACTCGCAAGGTTTCTATGGCATACCCATTAGATGATGAGGATGTTATGATGACTGGAGTGGGAGGCGGCCCTTCGAGCCCCGAGAAGTCGGCTCGTAAACGATCGAAGGTAGAGACACGCTACAATACGAATTCTCCTCTCGCTAACCCAAACCAGCCCAAGACCGAGGACGATGCTGTCATGTTCGACGCGGAAAACCATGTCGATGCGGTGCCCCTCAAGCGATCAGGCTCAAATGCCAAGAAAGGGATTTCTGGTCTCTTTGGAGGGCTTATGTCCTCCACTCCGCGCCCCGAGTCGCGTCCTGAGCCACGTCGTCGAAGTACATACCATACCACGGATGATGAGGCTCGGCCTGATAAGAGGGTTAGGCGATCCACACGAGATTACCACATCGTCGACGAAGAAGGCATAGACGATGAGAGAGAAGCTCGCCGTGCAGCCCGCCGTGCAAGAAGGGCCGAAGAGAAAGCAGCAGAAGAAGCACGTCTTGCGAAAGAGGAAGAACGGCGCGAAAGGCGTAGAAGGCATGAAGAGGAAGCCGAAGCTCGCAAACAAGCCGAACGCGAGGCCCGACGGGCTGAGCGTAGAGCCACCCGAGAACGCGAAGCAGAACGCCTCGCGGTCGAGGCTAAAGAAGCTGAAAGAGCCGAACGACGCCGGCTTCGTAGGCTCGAAAAGGAAGCCGCTGCTGCTGAGGAGATGGAAGCAGAAGCCCGTCGCGCTGCTAGGGCCGAACGACGGCGAGCGCGCTATGCTGACGCCTCCGGGGACGAAGAAGAACGCCGACGGAGGAGACACGAAGCTAGACGTGCCGAAGAAAAGGCCGCCCGAAGGCGTACCATGCCTGCAGACGAATATGTATACCCCCAGGAAAGATCTTCGCGACATACTATAGATGATCGCGATCGCGATCGTGATCGGAGACGAAACAAAGCGCAGATTTGGCCTCATTCAGGTACAGATTCGTGGGTGAAGGATCATTCAGATGCTGGACCGCCCCCTACGGATGGCCCAAATACAAATGTACCTCCTGAGGATGATGAAGAAGCTCGTCGTGCAACACGGCGAGCAGCCCGTCGTCGCGCGAAGTATGGGGACATGGATGCGGAAATGGAGGATGATAGACGACGCCGTCGCACGCGCCATGATGAACGAGGTCAACGAGACGAACGAAATGAACGAGATGAACGAGACCGTCGCAGAGACCGTCGCGTGGGCGGTTCGGATGGCAGTGGTGACAAGAATGGTGCTAGGGGTGGTGGTCCACGCGAGTCTTTCTTCACAGACTCTACTCCTCGAAGTAGTTGGTGGAGGAAGCTTACCGGCTCCTAAGGACTTCAAGCCTTGATTAGCAGAAGATGCTGTCACAATTGGTTGCGGATATTATCATTTGGAGGCGTTTTTGCATTATTTTATTTCATTTTTTCTTTCATTTCAGGTAAACATTTATGAAGATATGTGGGACATTTTTGGACTGGATTGTGTGCCTCCCGTAAGCCAAGGAGGTAGTGGTTCTAAGGGCTGTGTATTCCCTTGTATTCCCTTTTTTTTTTTTTTTTTTTTTTTTTCTTTCAGATGTGTAATAAGACCCGCTAGCTTTGGAGCATTGGTCGTACTGTACGGTATGGGACCGTCGTGTTTGGATATATGTTGGTTTCGGAGTGACGTGGCAAGGCTGAGGGGATGGGGAGGCAAGCAAGATGCAAGATTTGGGGAATAGGTGGACTGGATCCATCCAGATGAGGCCCGAGAGTGCCCGATTGGGCAATTTAGATGAATGCATCGTGATAGTGGTAATATGGTAGGTTAGTTTTTGATGTAAGCGATGCATAACAATATACCCTTTACAGCCTTGTGTTCTATCAAGTAGCCAGCTAGGTTTGGTTTTCACAACGTCATTCGTTAGCACCGAAGGTATATATGTAAAATGGAATAAATATAAGGGAGATAAATACCTGTTATGCTTACCTATGTCTGCGTATGTCTGCGTATGTGAATGGAGTCAATATTTCCCAAGCGCCTAACATTTTGACCGGTCCGTTTTATTGACCCTTAAGCAAGCACCCGAGCACTTGGTTGCTTGCAGGAGGCTACGCTTTCTGTTTGCATGGAAACTGCTGTCTTAAGGGGTATCTTTTATCTCATATTGGAAGTGTAGAGCAGGTTAAGTAGAATATACAATTTCCATCAAGTATCTAAGGAGGTAGTCATTACGAACCTTGGAAGGAATAAACGTCCAAGCTACTTGAAACAGTGAGATGCAAGCATTAATTCATACCTACCTATGTATACATTACCTGTACCTACCTAGGTAATATCATGTGTGTCATACCGAATGTAGGTTCCTCCTCAAACGCGTATCTTATATTTGCAACGCGTTCCTTCTTCACCTTAGGGAGGCGTACCTAGTTTTAAACCGCCACCACTACCATGGCAATAGTAGCACCTTCCCATTCACTTACCTACTCCCACACGTAACAAACCCGTCTCCGTATCTTGACGTAAGTTATAGGTACCTCCTCCCTCAACGAAAAGAACCCTTATAATATCTAGTAACAGACCTACTTCCCACCAACAAGCAAAGCATCCGTGGAGTAGTAGTTAACTTATTCCTCCCCCACTCCGCCTCGGTGGTCAAGTGGTAAAGGAAAGACCCGGGTGCAAATCCCGGCGGATGCAATTTTTTTATTTTTATTTTTTTTTTATTTATTTTTCCCCTTCTCTCTTGGGTTGTGTTGTATTTGAATGAAGGCCTTGGGTTCACGTCCAGCTCAAGGCCATCCGTTTTTCTTGTTTAATTTCTACTTTTCGGTTTTTCGTTTGCTCTATTAATTCTCTATTAGTTCATGACGTTATAACCCCTTACAGGTAGCACATATATATTCTTCTCACCTTGTTGACATGCCATTGCTAGGGAACGGTGCCAATGACGCTCTACTGTTTTCTACGTATTGCCTTTAAGATAACTGTCTTAGTTCTTATTATTACATGGGCAGTATTCGAGCTCACTGAGCTGGTCTACTCTAACCTAAGGTATTCATACTTGTGGTATTGTACAACGGTCAAGTCTAAGAGTCTAGAACAACTTGATTCCATTACCCGCCGCCTGCTCCATGAAGAAGCTCTTCACAGGTCTTATAGCATTGATCGCGTTCAAGCCCAGCGACCTCAAGGGCACCAATGGCCCGCTCCCCGCCGAATAGATCTTATGCAGCTTGTCGCAAACCCCTAAGAGAACGTGATTAGGTCCGTACCTCTCGGCGTTGTAAGGCTCCAATGACATCCGCGTCCCCAGATCTTGTCCGTGGGATACCGAAAACTCGATCGTCCGAGCTAGACTCTCCACGTCCCCTTGGCCTTGGTTGAGACCCTGCCCAGCAAGCGGGTGTATCGAGTGGGCGGCGTCTCCTACTAAGGCTACCCGCTCTCCAATATACGTATCTGCGTGTCGCATCTTCAAGGGGAACGACGCAATGGTGCTCTCCTGCACGCCTGTAACAGCCTGGGGCACCGCCCGCCGGTTAAACTGCGTATGCTGTAACCTCCAAGATAACTCTTCCTCCTGTCCGGAACTTATCGTATGCATGTATTCGAGATCCACGGGACGCAGCCGGAACGCCGCGTTCACCAAGGCAACAAAGTCCTTTGGCGACAAACTCTTTAGCAGCGCAGCATTCGCGGGAGTAGTAGACCACACGAGAGTCGATAAGTTCCCAGGGAGAGGTAACATGGCGACAGGACCCGTAGGAAGGAATCTCTGGTACGCGATCTTCATACCATCGCCGCCCCAACCTTCCCCCTCCAGCTCCAACGTCGCCACAACTCCGTGCCGCTCGTAGTCCCACCCCTTACTCTCGATCCCCGCGAACGCGCGCACGGGGCTGTTCGCCCCGTCAGCACCCACCAGCAGCCGCGCCGCCAGCCGCTCTCCGCTCGCCAGGTGCACGACGGGCCACTCGCGCAGGTCCAAGTCCTCCGTCTCCTCGCCGAGCGCTATGCCCGCGACCCTGGCGCCGTTAAATATCGTCACACCACCCAGCTCGTCGATGCGCCGCAGCAAGCCGGACGTCAGGTTCAGGTTCTCCGTCATGTAGGCGATGGTCCTGCCGGCCGCGGGAGGCGTCCGCTCGAACTCGATGCGCGCGTCCGTCACCCCGTCCCACACCTGCATCTCGTGGTACGCCTGGACGCGGTCGCGCCGCAGGTGCGCCCACCCGCCCACGCTGTCGAGGAATCGCGCCGAGGCCGGGGTCAGGGAGCTGCAGCGGTTCGAGAACCGGTCGGGGGGTAAGCTCCACGAGCGGACTTTGTCTAGGTCTTGCGCTTCGACGAGGGCTACTCGGAGATCGGCGGTTATCGGGTTCGATCCTTCGGGTCACGGGTTAGCTTGGACGGCGGCATTGGTTTGAACGGGGACGTTGTTAGTTATGGGCGTAACTCACTCAGGGCCGTCAGTAAGCTTAGGCCGGCGGGCCCGCCGCCTACGCACACGACATCGTAGATATCCGGTTGTCGCGAGCCGACGGTGGCATATGATCGAGATGGTTTAGGGAGCAACCGACGGCTGCATCTTCTACATAAGCCGGAGAGAGGTCTTTGGAGTTGACGTCCGGAGAGGACTATGGAACCCATTTTTGTGGTAGCTGCTCGAGCTTCGAGGAACTGGAAGTGGGATGACAATCGTCACTTTTTGGAGGAGCTTATCGTTGATAAGGTAACCTTACCTGGTATAACACTGGATAAAAGAATAATACACTGATACGATACTGCTTAAATACATTAACCCTCTTTATCTCTATATACCTTAGCGGGGATTGCAGCGAATTTATAAGGCTTGCGTAGGCCTTGTAATGCCCGAGTTTACGAGGGATATTGTCTTGGGCACCTTTTCACCAAATTCTCGTCTAAAAGAGGAAAACAGCCCGTGTTAGATTGGAAAGTTTTTATTGGGTGCATCTTAAAATATTACGGGTCCAATAATGTCCTTACTTCATTACTCTTTTTTAAAATACGTATTTTACTTTCGGAATATCGGTTTTTAAATGGCCCATTATATTTTTTTTTTATAAAATTACTTTAAATGTTTATTTAACTTTATCTTAATTCGGTTTAATATTTAATTGAACTTTTATAAATAATATATATATTTAATAAATTTCCATTTTTAAATAAAAATAATAAATATATTATTTAATTTTTTTTTTTCTATTATTTTCTTTTTATTATAATAATTATAATTTATTATATTACTTTTTATAATGTTTTTTTTTTATAATATTTTTATTTAAAATAATATTAAAAATTCTTTATTAAATAAAAATTTATTAATAAATTTATTAACTTTTATACCTTTTATTTACTTTATTATTATAAAGTAATTCCGCTTTTTTTTTTTTAAAAAAAATTATATAAATTTAATTTACAAATGTAATATTTGTATTTTTCACTTATATTACTTTTTTTTTAAAATTTATAACTTTATATTATAATTTAAAATAATAAATGGTAATATTTAATATTTAATAATATATTATATTTATTATATTTTTACGAATAATTATATATAAAAAAATAAAGGTAAAATTAATATTAATTAAAATAACTTTTTTTTATTTAAAAACTTAAACTTATATAATTATATTAAAATACTTTTAAATGATATTTTAAAACCCGGTAATTATTATTTTATTATACTTTTTTACTTAATTATATTTAATATTTTATTATTTACATTAAACTTTTTATTTTTTAAATTTAATAATTATAAATTCTATTACATTATTATATTAATTTTTAATAATTAATAATTATTTAAAGTTATATTATAACTTTAATAAAATATAAAAATTTCAATTAATTTTATTATTAATAATTTAATTATTAAATTAAAAAATAAACATTATTATATTTTAAATAATATAAATAACATTAAATTAACTTATATTATTTTATAATAAAAAATAGTTTAATTAAAGTAAAATTTTATTATTAATATTTTTTATTTAAAGTAAAATATCTTTAATAATTAAAAAAATAAAATCCTAATATAAAAAAACCTTTATTATTTATAAGATTATGGTTATTTAACATTTTTCCTTAAATTTACTAATAAAATTATAGTTAAATTTATTTAATTATATATATATATTACACATTTCTTTAAAAATTACTTTAAAGGTTATTAATTAATTAATAAATATTATAATATAATAATTAATAATTTATATAATATTTTTATTAAAGTTTTATTTATTCATTTTATATAATTTATTTTTAATAAAAATATTATATTACTTTTTTAAATTTTTTTAAATTATCGTATAAGGATTTTAATTCTTAATTTAAAAAGTAATATAAATGTTAAAGATAAAATATTGTTAAATTTTAAGATTTTCCAATATATAATAAATATTTCTTATTTATTTTTATTATAGTTTAAATAATTTAATATTAATAAAAGAAAATGAAATAAAATGGAAAAAAATATTTAAAATATATTTATTAATATTATTAAAAATAATAAAAATATTTTATTTAATAATGTTTAATTTAATTAATATATATTTTTAATTAATTTATTATCCTTTAATAATATAAATAATAATATTTTTAATTATTTTTCCAAATATAATTATATAAATAATTATAATTTTAATTATTTAAATTATAATATTAATATTAATTTATTAAATTTTATTTAAATTATTTAAAATAATATCATTAATAATAACTCCCTTAAAAAACGTTAATAATCATTATATTTTAATATTAATATTAAATAAATTATTTATATAATATTTTTATAAAATTATATATGGAATTATAATCCCCCTTTTTATTTATAATATAAACCCACCTTAAATCTTTCCAAATTAATTAAAATTAATAATAACTTTATAAAAAAAATAAAAGATTATTTTTTATTAATTAAAAAACTTTTATTACTTATAAATTATAATAAAACCTGTAATTTTATATAATTACTAAAAAAAAGTAAATATTTTTAATTTTTTAAATATTATTAATTTATTATAAATTCTTAAAAAGTAAATTACTTATTAAATTAGTGTTTTATATAAATTAATTAAATTTTAAATATTTGATTTAATTGTTTTATAAAATATTATAAATTAAATTAAATATAAATTTAATTTAAAAAATTATAAGTAAAATTTTTTTTTCTTTTTTACCTTTTTTTATATTTCTTTTTATACTTAATTAATAACCTTTATAAATGTTATAATATATAAGATATGTTTATATTATATTAAAAATATATATAATTAATATAAATAATAGTATATAATTAATTTTTAATTTATAAATTAAAATATTTAATTTTATAAATTTTATATTTATTTAATTTAAGTTATTTAAATAATTATAATTTATATAAAAAAGCTTAAAATTTTTTTATTAAATTTTTAAAGTTAATTTATATTTTAAAATATTTTAAAAAGTAATTATAATTTACATTAATAATTTACATTAATAAAATATAATAAATATAAATTATTAAAGTTAATTACTTATAAAAGTTAAATATAGGTAATTATAAAATTAGTTTTTTTAATGGTTAATTTACATAAAATTAAACTTAAATATATTTTTTTTATTATTTACTTTTATAATTTAAATTTAATTATAGTAAATATTAACGTTAAAGGAAATTTTATTCT